CGTGTGCTGCCACCACTGCGTGTGCTGCCACCACTGCGTGTGCTGCCGCCACTGCGTGTGCTGCCACCACTGCGTGTGCTGCCACCACTGCGTGTGCTGCCACCACTGCGTGTGCTGCCACCACTGCGTGTGCTGCCACCACTGCGTGTGCTGCCACCACTGCGTGTGCTGCCACCACTGCGTGTGCTGCCACCACTGCGTGTGCTGCCACCACTGCGTGTGCTGCCACCACTGCGTGTGCTGCCACCACTGCGTGTGCTGCCACCACTGCGTGTGCTGCCACCACTGCGTGTGCTGCCACCACTGCGTGTGCTGCCATCACTGCGTGTGCTGCCACCACTGCGTGTGCTGCCACCACTGCGTGTGCTGCCACCACTGCGTGTGCTGCCACCACTGCGTGTGCTGCCATCACTGCGTGTGCTGCCATCACTGCGTGTGTTGCCATCACTGCGTGTGTTGCCATCACTGCGTGTGTTGCCATCATTCTGTGCTGCCACCCTTTCCATTCGTGCTTACTAAGCTTCCATGCCCCTGGAATCTTCATTCGCTTCTTTTCCACTGTGCAGTAACCTGGGAGGAAATGGCTTCACAGGGTCCTTACCTGACTTCTCTGACTGGATCATCACATGTGCACAAATGTATGTCACGTAATTCATGTAAGCCACTGTACCCGATGACATGCCATGTCCTGCACACTTCTCCTTACCAGACTTCTCCTTACCAGACTTCTCCTTACCAGACTTCTCCTTACCAGACTTCTCCTTACCAGGCTTCTCCTTACCGGACTTCTCCTTACCAGAGTTCTCCTTACCATGCTTCTCCTTACCGGACTTCTCACACAGGATCATCACATGGGCACAAATGTATGCAAGCCTTTCAGCTCTCTCTCTCTCTCTCTCTCTCTCTCTGCCTCTTTGTCCCATTTCAACAATCTTATGCCGTACGATTGCTCAAACATTACTTGCTCAATCTTTTTGCTAGCACCGTGGGGTTCGTGCCGTATGATCCCATCCCATGTATTGCATTGGTTTTTTAGAGTTTTTAAAAACCAGCTTGTATTGCATTGGTTTTTGAGAGTTTTTAAAAACCAGCTTGTATTGCATTGGTTTTTTAGAGTTTTTACAAACCAGCTTGTATTGCATCGGTTTTTGAGGGTTTTTAAAAACCAGCTTGTATCGCATTGGTTTTTTAGAGTTTAAAAAAATCAGCTTGTATTGCATTGGTTTTTTAGAGTTTCTAAAAACCAGCTTGTATTGCATTGGTTTTTGAGAGTTTTTAAAAACCAGCTTGTATTGCATTACACCCGCCCGCAAGCAGTTGCGTTCAGATGAACCCACCCGCGTCGCTCAATATCTTGTTGCAGCTTCGACAAGATATTCTTACCTCAGATGCTTCGACATAGCATGCAGTAGCGTTCACCCCAACTATGTCAGGCTATCTCCTTGCTGTCAGGCTATCTCCTTGCTGTCAGGCTATCTCCTTGCTGTCAGGCTATCTCCTTGCTGTCAGGCTATCTCCTTGCTGTCAGGCTATCTCCTTGCTGTCAGGCTATCTCCTTGCTGTCCGCCTGTGTTGTGGATCAGAGATCTCGGCAGCAACAACCTCACGGGGTCGATTCCCGACTCCATCTCCACCCTCACCACCCTCGAGGGAATGTGAGCCTTCTCTTCTCTTCTTGTGCCACAACATGCCAAAACACCTGTTACAGCAACGAGGACATTCATTCACGTCTCCACTCTCACGCCCCTTGAGGGCATGTGAGCACTCTTGTCCCACACGTCTGCCATCACATCAGCACATAACAAGTTTTGAGTCTTGAGTCGGCTCAGAATTAGGGCAAGTGAGCACTCTTGTCCCACACGTCTGCCACAACAGGCCATAACGTCAGCCATGGACACATAACCATAAAACCATTCCCATCTGATCAAGGTGGACTGTCCTGTACAAAATCAGTTTTCGAGCCTTTGCAGTGGCATGCAGTGTATGGCAGGAGAGGGGTCGCAGTGGCAGCCTGTGCGCTTATTCCGCACTTCAACCAATTTACTCTTTGCCATACCATGCCCTGCAGTATTCTCAACAACAACCAGTTGACTGGCACCATCCCTTCGGCCATCTTCACCATGACGAATCTGAAATACCTGTGAGCCTCAACGGCATATGGATATTCGTAGTGATCCCTGTATTAAGTGCTCTGCCCACCAAGCGCTCCCACCATCCCCTCTGCCATCTTCACCATGATGAATCTGAAATACCTGTAAGCCTCAAGGTTCTAGGAATCCGCTTACTAAGCGCCCATCAAGCGTTCCCACCTCTGCCCCATGGTGCTTTCCTGTTTCAACCCGCACTGCTCTTATGTATGCTACTTCTCATTGCATTTTTGCCCTGCCATTGCCCTTCAGCTACAATGCGTCATCATAACGGTCTCCCTCCCAACTGTCTCCCTCCCAACCGCCTCCCTTGCCATTGCCCGTCAGCTGCATGGCCAACGCAGTACCTCTCTTCCCTCCCTGCCTCTCATCACAACTGTCCTCCCTCCCTCCCAACCGTCTCCCTGAAATTGCCATTGCCATTGCCTGTCAGCTACATGGCCAACAACCATCTGACTGGCTCTCTGCCATCCGCCATCAGCCAACTGCCGAAGATTGAACAGATGTGAGGGTGCTCTCTGCCTTGCTCCCCTATGTGTAAAAAGTGAGTTTTTGAGACGTCTCAAAAAGAAGCTTGAACAGATGTGAGGGTGCTCTCTGCCTTGCTCCCCTACGTTTCTCAAGAACGTTGGCAGCGTCGAAGCAATACAGGCAGCACAGGCACAGGTTTACAGGTAGATGCTATTACAATACAAGTCCTGAAGGGTATTTTTGAGAATTCTCAAAAATACCCTTCGGTAGATGCTATTACAATACAAGTCCTGAAGGGTATTTTTGAGAATTCTCAAAAATACCCTTCGGTAGATGCTATTACAATACAAGTCCTGAAGGGTATTTTTGAGAATTCTCAAAATTACCCTTCGGTAGATGCTATTACAATACAAGTCCTGAAGGGTATTTTTGAGAATTCTCAAAAATACCCTTCGGTAGATGCTATTACAATACAAGTCCTGAAGGGTATTTTTGAGAATTCTCAAAAATAGCCTTCGGTAAATGCTAATACAGCACAAGTCCTGCAAACGTCCTCACTGTGATCATGAAGAACAGAAACGAACAAATAGAGCCAAGGCACACACTCCCCACACCACACAATCATTGCCTGTGCCATCCCCACTTCACCTGCTGCGCTTCATTCATGCAACCATTGGCACCGCCTTCACTCTCCTTGCCAATGTTGAAATCACTTTTGAGAATTCTCAAAAGTGATTTCAATGCAACCATTAGCACCGCCTTCGCTCTCCTTGCCAATGGTCTGCCTGCAAATGCTCTGCCTGCAAAGGCTCTGCCTGCAAAGGCTCTGCCTGCAAATGCAAATGCTCTGCCTGCTAAGGCTCTGCCTGCCACTGCTCTTCTCTCCCTACCCTTCACTCTGCCTGCTCTTCCTACCTCCTGCCACTGCTCTGCCTGCTCCCACAGCTGGTTGGACAACTTTTGAGACTTCTCAAAAGTAAAATTCACTTAGCTGGCTTACAAATCCCTCCGGTTCTTGTGTGTTGGAAGTTACCTTCACGGTTACAAAACCGGTTGGTAAGGGCTCGCTTTTCTACGGCGAATCCCACAACAGCCGACTCGCTTACTGATTCGAAGTGAAGTCCCTTGGGCCTTCAAGATTTCCTCGAGTGGTCCCATGTTGATCCAAGTTGGCAGTTTTTTGTGGCTCGGGCAGATTTCGCCTTGGGTATGGTTTGACCTAGGGAATTTGGGGGGTTGAGAGGATTGGTAGAAATAGGACTAGAAGGGTCTTGTTTGTAATCCTAACCGGCGCTGATGAAGGCCTAACGGCCGAAACGCATTCGCTACTTAGTACTTTTACTTCAAGACTTTTAAGTCCTGGCTTATGCTTCTTTTCCTAGCCCTATGAAACAACCCACCCACAGCACTTTGCTGATATTTCTACGACGACCACAAGGCTTGCTGCGGTTCGAATCCATCTTCAACTTGCCTGCTCCCACAGCTGGTTGGACAACAACAACATTGAAGGCCCTCTGCCGACTGGCCTGTGCTCGCTGCCCTTGCTGTGGCGCCTGTGAGTGGTTGTGACACTTGGCATTATTGTTTTTCTTTTCTTTTCTTTCCTTTCCTTTTCTTTTATTTCAGAGATTTCCCAGCCAGGACAGACAGGCTGTCGCTTATTGCAAGCAAGTTTGTATACCTACTGAACTCATAAATCTGGAAATTATCAACTTATTATCTCTCTTTAGTGTGTTGCATGGGTGTGTGACTCATGGTGCGGCATGTGTTGTGTGCGGCATGGTGTGTGTTGTGCTGCTGCCAGCATGATGAGCAACAACTATCTCTACGGACCCCTGCCAGACTGCCTCTTTGACAAGTGTATCAACCAAATGTGAGCCAAACACGCATACTCTATTCTCAATCTCATGCATAGATGCAACAGCTCGCACCCTCAACATGGGTATTGCATCGAGTGACGAGATGCACCCGCTTGGTGTTGCAGACCATAGGGTGGGACTACCTCCAGTCAAACACTCCAACAGCATGTTCTGCTCTCCTTTTGGCCCTTGTGCTTCCCACAGTGATGTGAGCGGCAACAACCTGTATGGGCGCATCAACCGCGACTTCAAGGGCATGGTGGCGAACAGCGGTGCCCTCGTCCTCTCTCCTCCCAAGCCCCAACCATTTTCTGCCCTCCATGCGTCCCCTGTGCCTCCCACCCTCCCACAGTGATGTGAGCGGCAACAGCCTGTATGGGCGAATCAACCGCGACTTCAAGGGCATGGTGGCGAACAGCGGTGCCCTCGTCCTCTCTCCTCCCAAGCCCCAACCATTTTCTGCCCTCCATGCGTCCCCTGTGCCTCCCACCCTCCCACAGTGATGTGAGCGGCAACAGCCTGTATGGGCGCATCAACCGCGACTTCAAGGGCATGGTGGCGAACAGCGGTGCCCTCGTCCTCTCTCCTCCCAAGCCCCAACCATTTTCTGCCCTCCATGCGTCCCCTGTGCCTCCCACCCTCCCACAGTGATGTGAGCGGCAACAGCCTGTATGGGCGCATCAACCGCGACTTCAAGGGCATGGTGGCAAACAGCGGCGCCCTCGTCAACCTGGCTCGCAACTTCTTCTTTGGGGAAGCCATGCTCTTTGCTGCTGGCTGCAAGGTCTGCCCCACTGAAGTCAGCGAGCCCAACAACCTCAGCCTCAAAGACACCTCCAACTGGCGAGTCTCTGACGGCAAGTGCAACAATGCGCTCCCCTCGTACCTACCTAAAGAATACTACGCTGTCGCGGGGGCAGGGTTGAAGCTGAGTGTGAGTCTGTCGGGCAACTGCCTGACCCTCAGCCCGAACGCGGAGTGCTCTGTCAACGCCACCCAGCGCAGCACGGCAGCCTGCCAGGCGTTCTGCAGCATCACGGACAACGGCCCGTGTGACGGCCATGGGGTGTGTGTGCCGGCTGCCCCTGCCTCTTCCACCAACTTCACCTGCCTCTGTGAAGCCGGCTACTCCTCTCTCGACTCGGGCAACGGCTCCACATGTGCCATTGTCAACTCCACTACCACCACTGGTATGCATTGCTTCATTCTTACAGGACCGCCTCAGTTTCGCAGCATTGCCCATGTCCAATACTTACATGGTGCACCAATACCCATGTCATGTGGCTTTTTTCCTCCACACCTTTTCACTCCTTGCCTCACCTTGACACCTCCTTCTAACCACCGCCCCAATTTCCTTAACCTCCCATTCCTTGGCAGTGTCGTCACTTTCTACAGGTGCCATTGTTGGCATTGCTCTGGGCTGCTTTGCTGGCTTCATTTTGCTGGCTTTTGTGGTCGCATGGCTGCTGTGGCCCCGCGGACGAAGTGAGCCCCTCGTCCCTTCTTCAGTTCCATTCGTTCCCTTCTCCCCCATAACTGTGCCTGTTTTCTGGCCTCCTCCCCTCCCCTGCTCTGCCATTATTACTGCATTACAGTTCTGCCTCTTCGCTGCTCTCATATTCTGTCTACTCATTAACTCCCCTGGTCGTTCGCCCCCCTCGTCCTCCTCTGTGCACAGAGAAGTGGGAGGGTTTGGACGTGTGTGAGCAGTTCTCGCTGCAGCAGATGCTGAAGGCCACCAACAACTGGTCGGAGGACAATTTGTTGGGCAAGGGTGGCTTTGGCGTTGTCTACAAAGGCCGCTCGCCACAGGGCCAGCTGTGGGCCATCAAGCGCTCCACCATCATGTCCAACGACTTTGAAACGGAGGTCAGACAAAAAATCAGTACTTGTCAGAATACATACACTGGGGATTCTCGAGAAGTATTTGATCCTAGGGAAGGGTTACAAGCACGTTTGCTTGGGGTTATGGACGCACTCACCCGCTCCTTGACAAGCCATTTGTCCTTGTGGTGCAGTGGTTGAAATTTTGACATGGTATCAGAACGAAAGTTTTGGATTTGAATCCTCATGTGCGCACGTGCTGGCGCCCATGTATCGCTACCGCTGTACCGTGTCATAGGGCATCCTAGTGAGGGGGGCGGTGTCAGTAGACCTGCACTTGGGATTTTCGATTGATCGTAGTACACAGGCACGCTTGCCCTGGGGGGTTATGGGATATGTTGGAATGTACGCTCAGACCCTAAAGCGTATAGCGTTTACACGCTTGCGTTTATACTCAAAACGCTATACGCTTACTAATACGCTATACGCAGTCAGATTTTTTGGGCTGCCCGAGAAAAAAATCTTGTGTATACGGAAAGATGCGGAATCTCCTGGTGAGCATTTTGCCGAAGTCGAGATGCATTTCGGTGGTCTAGGGAAGCGGGAATCTGCCTTCAAAGTTATCAGTCAAGTCTGGCAGTTCAGATCTACAATTTCAATTAGTACCACATTGAAACCCATCCCATCTACGAACTCCAACCTGTCAAATGTCCCCCCAACAAACCCCACTCACGCTACTTACCAGCCAGCCCAACTTCACTCCTCATTTCAAGTTTTCTTTTCCGCTTCCAACAAAGGTCATTCCGTTTCCTACTCCTTCTAGCGATAATGTTTACTACACATCCCACCCCAATCGCCGTTCAGATTTAGGAAAATGCTACGAAAATGTTAGATAGAATAGGGAATACCTTCCCGATGTTGAGCACGACGGTTTTTCCACTCTGCCCGGGAATTTTTTTCCCCTGCCCGAAAAAGCGTATGTCCAAACTGACCCCTGAGCGTATAGCATATACATGATAGCGAATATACGATACGCGTATATACACTAAACGCGTATATTCCAACATAGGTTATGGGTCCACTCACTACTTAACAAGCCCTTTTGTCCTAGTGGTGTAGTGGTTGAGATTTTAACAGTGCTCCTTCTTGTACAGAATGCTGATCTGCAGCCCACATTCTGTTTTTGGAAATGCTGGCTTTCAACTTAAGTCCATATGCATCACCCTACATTGTGTTCCATGTCCATGTGGCAACTACCGACCTGCAAATTCAATGCCCACCTTTCCGTGGCCATGTGCATCTGCATGTCTTGTATTCTCACTACAGGTGCGAGCCATGGCCTCACTCCACCACGTGCATCTCGTGCGCCTGCTGGGCTTCTGCCTGGACCAGAACGTGGAGACGGGCAAGCAGGAGCAGATCCTCGTGTACGAGTTCATAGGCAACAGGGATCTCGAGTACCATATCCATGCCACCAAGCGTGAGTCGCACTAGCCTATGGCAAAGTAGTTGTCAGTAATTGTTCATTTGTTTATTTATATTTTTTTCAATTATTATTTTGCTATGTTGCGATATACGCTCAGACCCTAAAGCGTATAGCGTTTGTACGCTTGCGTTTATACGCAAAACGCTATACGCTGACTAATACGCTATACACTTTCAGAAATTTTTAGGGCAGCCCGAAAAAATAAAAATCGCTACAAAGGTGCGGATTTCCTTGGTGAGCATTTCGTTGTTGTCCAAATGCAAATCTGAGGTCTAGGGAAGCGGGGATTTGACTTCGAATATCTTTGGCACATGGCAAATCGAATGTCAATTTGAGCTCCCATTTAGGCAAATAAACCCAACCCATCTACCGTATTGAAACGCAATCCATCTAGGAAAGCCAATCTGTGAAAACTGACCCCCTAACAAACCTCACACTACTTACCAGCCACCCAACTGCTAACTCGTCAGTTCCTTATTTCCATTCTCGCTTCTAGCACAGCCCACTCCTACGACTACTATCTCTGTCTAGGGATAATCTCTAATCCACCTCCCACCCCACCCAACTTTCAAAACCAGGAGAATGCTAGGGTAATGCACGTCGTAGTGAGTAGAGGTTTTTTTTTTCACCCTGCCTGGGTAATTTTTTTCCTGCCCGAAATAGCGTATCCCTGGATTGAGGCCCTTGCGTATAGCGTATAAACGCATGCGTATATACGACACGCGTATATACACTATACGCGTATATCGCAACATAGTTATTTTGTTGTATGTTTTACTTTTCGTAGGAAAATACACCGTTCTTCATAAAATTGCACGTTTTGCGTGATACATGTGTTTCAGGCCCTCTCTCGCTGCGCCAGAGGCTGCGCCTAGCACAGGGAGCAGCAGAGGGCTTGGCATACCTACACGGGTTTGACACACCCATCGTTCACCGCGACATCAAGCCGGCCAACATCCTCGTGACTGCAGACATGCAAGCCAAGGTGGCTGACTTTGGGCTGCTCAAGCGCCTCACTCACGGCGATTCTGATGCCACTCGTGTGGCCGGCACTCCGGGCTACGTGGACCCGGATTACAACCGCACCAACGTCATCACGGCCAAGAGTGACGTGTTCAGGTGAACACGGATGCTTGTTCCTTTGCACAGCATGATGAAAGTGTGCTCCTCTGCTTATGCTTATCCCTAGCGTATGCTGAATATTGTACCCTGTGTTGTTATCCTTTCCAAACCTTTTCCTCTACGCCCAATCGTGTGGTCATTTGCAGCTTTGGAATCGTTCTTCTTGAGTTGCTGAGTGGGAAGTCAGCCCAAGTCGACACAAGAACGCATATAAGGAAATGGGTATGCACATCACATTTAAAATCTACTCTCTGAGTCGGCTCGGTATGCCCATCGAATCTGAAATATGTTTCTGACCTCATTACTATTGCCTCACGTTTATTTGAATCACCTATCTTTCTGCCTTCCACCACCCTTTCCTGCCTTCCCTTCCATCCTTCCTTGCATTGACACCCCCCAGGCAATGAAGCTGGTGGAGGCGTATGAGGTGGATGAGCTGAAGGACAGCAAGATGCCGGCAGTAAGCGAGGAGGCCATAGTGGACTTTGCAGACCTGGCTCTGGACTGCATCAAGTCTCCCGGCACACGGCGACCCACCATGAAGGATGTGGCATACCGCCTCAGTGCCCTCATTGACAAACACTGCCCCGACAGGGAGGATGAGTGGGAGAGTGTCGCGAAAGAAGAGAGTGAAGGTAACAAGGGTATGTCTTCAAGGGATGTTTCTGCTGTGTCGTTTGGAGATGGTGGGAGGGAGTCTGAGAGGTCTCATGGTTCACAGTCTGGTGTGAGCACATTTGTGCGCATTGGCTCGATAGGTGATGGCCTCAAGAGTTGGCTGCAATTGAAGCCAACTAAAGGGCGTTAAAAAATGCCCATAATAACAGTAAACGTGCGTATTTAGCATGAAGATTTACCGTAATTCCCCCCTGGGTACACCAACCTAGGATCTTACGGTAATATAAACTCCCAAAAATGGGTGTGCGTGTATAAAACATGAAGAACTCTAGTTGCTTCATACGGCAGTTTTATGTAAAGTTATATCAAACAACAATATGTCTGGTATTTTTTACAACCTTGTTGAACAAAATTCCATTGCCCCAATATAAGACATAAAGCATCTGATACTGATTTGAAAAATGCATTGTTATCGTGTAATGTTATTGAACTTTTAAGCTGGATCCTTTTGCTAACAGATGTTTGGTATGACAAGACTGCACTTGATTTGGTCTTCCAACCTTGAGAAATATGCCATAACGAATGTTCTACTTCTGTTCAACCAGAATAAGGGCGTGGAACCGGTTAGGGATTTGTTGTTTGAGGGATTTGGTTTAGGCCGCACAGGTTCAGTTCTGGAACATGAACTGGATTAAAAACAAATGATATTGAAGCTACGCCAACAACCCAGTCCCACCGATTCTTTTGCGGGTTATGCAAGTTGCGACCGGCACTCTTGTTGCGTCCGAGTGGGGATGCGCAGGCCAGCTGGTTGGGCCTTCAGGTGGGAGCGGGAACCCAGGCGTTATTGTGCTGATGTTCCGAGACCCGGTTGCATTTCGTGGTGATCCTTGCGACAAGTGATATGCGGTTACCTCATCGCGAAGATCTGACGACGAGGTACCCTTTCCGAGTTGCGCACTGCATCGGTTCCACACCCTAATGCTTGGCACCGCCCTTGCTATGTGCCAAGCCAAGCGAAATCTACGATGCTGCCATCGCGGCACAGCTGCGTGTTGAGCAAATCGTTACAGTCGATCGAGGACTGCGCGTTCCAGCCTGGCTGGTGGGCACTCCCCGTTCCTTGCGCTTGTTGTTGGTTGCTGCTGGCACAGGTGATGGGCGGGAGGAAAGGGAGGGAGTGCTTGTTCTCAATCCGAAAGCCTCAGCGCAATTCGGTCGTCGGAGCGGTTTTGCCAGTGTCGACAGGAGGGGTCGTCGGAGCCGGGCCTGACGAGGCGGGCGACTGACGCGCGTGCGGGCCCGCCAGCCTGGCCCAGGGCTGGGCCGAGCGCACGACCGCCGCCCCGCAGCCCCGCTCCGAACGTGAACAGCGACCCACGTTACCGGGTGGGGTCGGCGAGCTGGCGACCCCTCGCGCGAGGGAAAGTTACCCTCGCGCGAAGGCAGCCCACACGTGCCACCTGCCCGCGAGGTCCTAGTAACCCATCGCGGCCTGCCCGGACGGGCAGGCGAGGGGTGTGCGAAAATTCGGGGCCCCCTCGGGACACTCGACAATTTCGCGACCCGTTGCGGTGGCGCCACGTGTTCGCCCGTGGCTTCGCATCGGGCGCATGCGAAATTTCACACGCTGCGAAATCAAAAACCTCTCGCATCGGGTTCCGCTACGAAATCGACACGTGTCGGCCGTAGCGTCGCTCCGCGCGCATGCGAGGTGTGCGTCCCCTCGCCGACCTGGGCCAATGGACCCGAAGTCGACGCCCTGCCAAGGCGGAGACGGGCCACCCGTGCCACTTGCGCATGCGCCCTCCGAGCCCTGCCGAGACAGGCCCCACACCCTTGGGCGATGCTGAACGGGCCTGGGGTGGGGCACCACCTCCATTTCTTGCTGGAAGGTGGCTTCGCTCCTCATTTTCCGCATCCCGTTTCGATTTTCAGACCTTGACACCTCTGCGCCTCCCCTCTCTCCTACCTTAGTCGTCCGCGTCTTTTGTTAGTCGATAGATATGGAGCCGAGCCCCGACGCCGATAAGTCAGCGCCGACTTCGGCTGACTTTCCCCTTCGTGTGCGAATGGGTCGCGGTCTCAGCTTCACCTTCGAGTGGAACGACTTCGCCGTCCTTCACGACCATAGGATAGAGTTCAACGAGAGATGCTTGGGACTCGGCATCAGGTGGGAGTCGGGTAGTCGCGGTGGTTGAATAGTGTCGATGGCGGCGCCGACTGTCTCTAGCTCCGTTGGAAGTCGCATTGTCGCTGTTTGTCATCAGACTTACGTCCGAGTACGAGACAATAGGCATGGTCCCCGTCCAGGGACGTCGGTCGGCAAAGCAAGCGTCGACCACGTACTGTCCGCTTTTGACGTATGGTAGACGTCGACCTGGTAGCGTTTGCTCAGCAGCCATGTTATCATCCCCTATGCTCACTCGTGCGCTCAGGTTCGCTTGGTTTCGCATTGGGCGGGACGACCAGCGGTTGTGGGTAATCGGAGTCGGCCCGCTTCGCTCGGCCATGAAGGCCGCCGACCATTCTTGCTTTGTGACGGTTTTCGACACCAACATCGCCGCTATCCCATTGCGATCGACGTGAGCTGGTCCCCCGTTGTCCAGTTGTCGTTTTGTGTAGTCGGTCGCATCATCGCCTAATGATGTGGTCGACGCCGTCTTGCATGTGCAGCGGCGGCCCGCTTCCAGGGTCACACTGCAGCGTCATAGCCATCCTCTACCCAGGAGATCTGCTGAAGGCTGAGGGACAGGTCTGCAGGACCTCGATCCGGCACATCGACCCGCATACCGGGAAACTGAAGCACCGCGACGAGGCCGTCCGCGTGCTGAAGTAAGTTGTGAATAGTCGTCGCTTTCTTGCTTGTTAGTCGCCGACATAGGGTATCACATGCTGACCTTTTTCTTTTTACTACGATGCTCCAGGCTATTCCGCACGGCTGTCCTGGCCGAGCTGGGGCGTCCCGGTAGGAAGTGGGACGGGGCGCCGCCATCACAAGCAGTGGTCGAGGACAGGCTTGCCGACTGCGACGACCCTATCCGCGACGTGAGTTGCGCGTTAAAGCTCCGCTCTTAACGTTCTGCGCGTATCTGTATGCACCGCTCATATTGTTCCGCGCTTGCCTGTGTTGTATGCAGAAAGTGCCGGGCACAGTGTCGGACGGGCATGTCGGCACCGGCATGCTTGCCGCGACGTCGTTCGGGTGGGTGGCCAAGCAGATCGACCTGCTGACGGGCGACAAGGCTCGAAGTGCGGTGAGCATCGAGAACATCAAGGCAAAGGGTTTGAAGTCGCTCCGTGATAGCATGGTCGAGTACATCTGCAAACGCGTCGCCGAAAAACGATCTGCGGCGCCGACTTCAGGAGCCGTTGGACCCATCGACAGTGCGATTGATGACGACGGCGCGGAAAGTCAGACGGCGCCCCAGGCAGCAGCTGCCGACCAGCACCAGCTGGACTTGCCGGTGTCCGGAGGAGGCGACGCCGCGGCAGGTGCAGGAGGAGGAGGAGGCGACGCCGCGGCAGGTGCAGGAAGGAAGGTTCAAGATTCGGAGTCGTCGGATTCGGACTCAGAGTCGGAGTCGGAGGGGGAGGAGGAGGACGAGGCGGCGAAAGAGAAGAAGGTCGAGGAGGATCACGAAGAGGAGGAGGAGGAGGAGGAGGAGGACGAGGACGAGAACGATGAGGTGGTGGAGGTTGAGGAAGGGAAGGATGAGGCGGAGAACGACGAGGAGGGGGTGGAGGCCGAGGTGCAGTACGAGCTGCAGTACGAAGACGGTACGGTTGTGGCGTTGGGGTCGGCGGATGAAAAGAATGAGGAAGCGGAGGATGGCGATGCGGGTAATGCTACGAGGTCGGCAGAAGATGGGGGGAAGGAGACGGATGAGGTCGGCGCGGAGGCAACGACGGAACAGGGCCAGGAGGAGGCGGCATGCGAAGGTGCGAAGGTGTCGGTCGACGCCGGCGAAGGGGCGAACATCACGGGCATGCAGGAGACGGAGGAAGCATCTGGTCGGCAGGGCCCTGAACAGGTCGACGTCGAGGAACTGCTGCGGGAGAACTTGCTGTTGAGGGCGGAGAACGCTCGGCTGAAGGCGTTGCTCGATGAGGAGCAGGCTCGGCTGGACGGGTTTTTTGGTGGGTTACGTGGACTCGTCGACCACCTGAAAGAGTTGGCCGAACAGATCGACGACACCGACAAGTTTGCGGCGCAGCAGCTGCGAAACGCGACGGCAGACATGTCGCAGACCATCACGGGCAACATCACCGGCAGCTTCGACGAAGCGTGGAAGACGATGAAGACATTCGCGGAACAGGCGTCGGCGTGGTTGGAGGACTTCGACAATCCGGAGGGTCGTGTGGCATGTGCACGCGCTGAAGCTGTCGACGCCTTGGCCGAGCACGTGGATGGGGTGGTGGGCGAAGCGAGGCGGGGTTTGGAGCTGTACATCACGACGCAACTATCCGCCGCGCAGGTCAACACCGCCCCCGCCTCAGCCCACGCCGCCCGCCCTCCCGGAAGAGCTCTTGAAGTCGTTCAAGGCCGACATCATGAAGACGGTGACGGAGGCCACCCAGCAGTCGTTCGTTGCTTCCGGGATGAAGATGTTGACCGAGATGATCGGCACTGTGGCGCCTGGTCGACGCGGGTTGTCGCCGTCGGCCAATGACGCAGATCAAGCGCAAAGGAGGGCGGCCGACAAGCAGGGCGAGAAGAGGACGGGCGACGGAGACGACAAGGAGAGCGTGAAGCGGAGCAAGGGATCGGACGGGAGCCGCGGCACGAAGCCTCCTGCTCAGAGCGTGGTCGAACAGCTGAAGTCGAAGGCGGGGTGGAAGGTGATAAGGACGTCGAACAGCAAGGGAAGCGGAAGCGGGGGGGCAGAGGGTGGCCCTGCCGACGGGGTTGCCGATAACGTCGCTGCACCGCCTGGCCCGCCTTTGGTCGCCGAGCAGACCAAACCGCAGGCGACCTCCGGGAAAGGCGTGACCGACAAGGAGGCCCCTACTTCTCAGGCGGCGAACGACGGCGGCGCCGGAACCACCAAGGGACCGTCCGTCGCGGTGACGGCCAAGGGCAAGGCGAAGGCCGCCTCTGCCAAGTCGATTCCCCCATAAGTCCCCAGCGGCTACCCCCGCGCCGGCCGGCAAGTCAGGCGCCAACAACGATGGGCCAGCCATTGCAGCCCCTCCAGCTCCAGCAGCACCAACTGCCGACAAGGGCGACGCGACGGCTGGTGCGGCTAAGCCCGAAGGTCCGTCACCTGCTAAGGTGCCCGCCGGCAATAACGCGCTCAGGGAGATGCTCCGCCGCATGGATGCGGATCGCAGGGACGTGCAGCAGCCTCCAGTGGTCGACGCCGCCCTTGCCGAAACAGCACGTCGCTCAGTCACATCGCAGGTTGTCGGCAAATCGACCGGTGCCCCACCTGCCGCCCCACCGCCCGCGGAAGCCAAATCCACGTTTCTTCGCGCCCATTTAGGCGCACGCAAAGCGGGAGCTCGACAAGTGACTCAGCCGGAACCCGGCAAAAGCGCGACGCCGACGTCGGTAAACGCGACTTCACCCACACCAGGTGCAGCTGTGGTCGCTCGACAAGTGACTCAGCCGGAACCCGGCAAAAGCGCGACGCCGACGTCGGTAAACGCGACTTCACCCACACCAGGTGCAGCTGTGGTCGCTTCATGACGTGCTCTGGCCGGCGATATGGTTCCCCATCATCGAAGACACGGAGGCAGGCAAGGCGCAGACCACCGCTCTCTTGTCGGCGATGGTAAATCGCGTGTCGATGTGCGCGGCGTATGGGAAGGTTGCGGCGAGCGTGGCGTTTGGGAAGGTCGACGCGAGCGTGGAGGGGAAGGCGGGTGAAAACGCGATGGAAGGCGCGGAGGGTAAGGCGGACGAGAAGACGGAGATGGGGGCCCAGGCGTTAGCGGCATCTGCATGCGCCCTCTGGTGCTACATGTCGACGGGTGCGTCGGTGCTCGGTGCTGTGGGCGAAGGGAAGGCGGCCGCGATGGTGGCAGGTGCAGGGGAGCAGAGGGCCGAGCGCTTCAAGAAGGTCATGCACTTGGTTTTCGACTTTGCAAAAAGTCGGAAGGCTCCCGCGGGGGAGGTTGCACATAACGTCGCGCCAGAGCTGCAGCGCTATGGAGTGGCCAGGGCCTTCGAGGCGGGAATTGAGGAAGTCGAGGCCGACATGATCGCAAGAGCGACGGTCGAGACCTTGGCGTTCTGGGGAATGTGCCCCGTCGCCGGGCCCAAGCTCAAAGCGGAGGGCATCGATGTGCCGTGTGACGCGAAGATGGAGTACGATCTGGAGCACAGGGGGAGGAAGGGTGAGAAGGTCAAGCAGGGCAAGGGCAGCAAGAGGAAGAAGACGAAGGCGGAGAAGCAGGCGAAGGACAGTACGGATGCGTAGTCGGCGGACGGATGTGTCCTAGGTTGCTAGGGTGTATACTATGTCAGTATGGCCGGCGCCGATTTCGGCGCAGATTTGATAAATGTTTTCTTTCGTAACAAGAATCGTATTTGATACAGTTCTGTTTGCTTCACTTTGGGTTGAACAAATCGGTGTCCACATAGAAACATGCTGACCGAATATCACCAGATGGGCCATGTCGGCGCATATGTCGACATGATATGCACATGCTAGTCGGCGAGGACCGTTGACATGATAGAAACATGGTTCTCGGCGTTGAGCTTTGTCGGCAAAAGGTCGACATCGAGTTTTGCGACACCTATCGTTCTGGGCGACAGGCAACATTCAGCGACAACATTCACCGACAAGTAGTGTTCGCAAGGATCTTGATGTGGGTTGTTTACAAAATACCAGAAACAGTATTAGAAGGGGGGGGAGGGGGGGGGGGGGGGCTTTGTAAGTCTGCCAAAATCAACAGCATCAAACTACGCAGACACATATCCTAGGAGGGACTTCATGCTGACTTCTTGCGCTTGGTCGGAGGACGCTCGGCTTCGCCAGGTCGGCCTTGGTCTTCGGCATCTGCTCCTCCCAGGTGTCTGGAAACAGACCGATGAGCCAATCTCTCGGCTTCAGGTTGAGCGCCACAAGCGCACAGGCGAGGCGAAGCTTCGAGACCACCTTGGGGCCCAGCCCCTTGACTCCCATGCCAGGCTCTTTGGACAACATCGGTGCCGTTTTCGGGTTGAGCACCGTGAGGGCGTCGCAGAAGGTCCCAATGCCCGGTGCTGCGATCCTGTTCAGAGCGTTGACCACGGCCTCGGTGTCGGCGTCGCCGTCGCTCGCGCGTAGCTGGCGCACCGCATCCATGGCCTTCATCATGCGGCGCACCTTCATGTCGAGCCCACCCTGCGTCGCGCCCTTTCCTGTGAGGAGGGTGTGGCGGGCGACGAATCCCTTCTCGGCGACCCTGTCGCAAAGGCGACGGGTGTCATTGGCGGTGGCGGAGTTCCATAGGCGCCAAGCGTCCCTCACAGTCTTTGCCTCCCGCCACGGTTGCACCACGTTGAGCTCGTAACTAGCCTCCTCGTCCGTCTGTGGGGGTGGCGGGGGTTTGTCATCCCCTCTCTTGGCTCCAGCCCCCGTGCTGGCCGAATCCGCCGAGCCACCCTCGCTGGGAGCTTGCACGGGCGCCGACGGCGGGGCCTCAGGCACTCTCCGTGCTTCCGACAAGCTGAGTGCCTCGGTGAGACGGGCTACCTCGGCGGTGAGTCCCGCGATGGTGTCGTCGCGCTTCTCGATCTCCTCTAGGAGATCAATCTTCTCGTTCGCGGCGCGCTCCCTTTCCGACTGCAGCTGGGCCTTGAGGGACATGTTGTAGTACTCGGTGTCCATGCGGACCGAGATTTCCTGCAGCGGTAGGAAAAAGACGTTAGGGCCGCGGTGGTTTGGTTAACACTACATACTGCACGTCGGCGACAGTATCGTCGACTTACCTCTGGCTGTATTTGGGTCGGGTCGCGACGCTTGTTGATCGTCTCGGTGTCGACGCTCTCCACCCGTTTCGCCCAGTGCTGGAAGAGGGGGATCCGGCAGAGCTTGGAACCTTGGACGTACGGGTGCCATGGTGTGCGGACCAGCTTCACCGCTAGGTCCTCGGCGACGATGCGGCGCAGCATCTGGAGTGTGCGCCAGAAGTGCACCGCGGCTTTGTCGGCGTCGGACCCCTCGATAGCCTTCTCTTCTGCCTGCAATTCGTCACGTGTATTAGGTGTTCAGACACGGTCGGCAAGACGACTCGAAGACAGGGCTACGACGGCGTCGACTAACTTACCGTCTTCAGCATGTCGTCGACGCCGGGGAATATGTGCTCGGCGAGGAGTTTCAGGAGCTTGTCGGTGGGTTCCACCCTGCTCCGCCCCAAGAAGTAGTCCTGCTTGTAACCAGAGTACCCGGCCTTCTTCATCACCACCCCCACCGGAATGGCGGTGATGTACGCCCGCGTCATCTTGTCGAGCGCCCAGTGACCCAGCTCCGCGATCTCGGCGCGCGGCGTGCCGTCGATGGCCAGCTCCTGGGCCCCTCCCGCTCGAGCGGCGTGCACGTTCCTCTTGCAGAACACTTTGTTGGTGTCCCACAACTGCCGCGTCCAGCGTTGGTGGCTTGCCGCAGAGAGCTCCCCTTGGTCGGTGTCGTTTTTGGCGAAGAAAAGGTGCTTCTTGTACCAGCTCGCGCGTGTGCTGGTGTCGACCGGCGGAATGAGGCGGACGCCGTGAAACTGGCCGATCTGGTCGAGGACGAAGTGCAACCACAGGCCCGTCTCGCCGACGGCGCACAACTCCGCTTCGAGGTGCCGCGCCGCGTAGCTCTGCTGCAAACGAGCATCCTTGGACGTCTTCGAGTTTCGTGCAGCGATGACCATTACGACCGGCTGGTTCTCCGGGTTCACCGACGAGGTGCTCGCCAGTCGGTACAAGAAGATGTCGGGGAGCGTGATCTCGCGGATGCTTGCACCGCGCAGGAGGCTGTGGTGGGAGAGAAGCGTGAGCACCTTGATGAGCAGAAACCTCCACAGTGTCTGCGAAGGACCCGTTCCACGCGGGTTCCACGCCTTCGCCGCCCACGTCGGCAGCACAGGTATCGCCGAGGGTTCCTCGACGCCGATCGGCGCAATTCCTGCCCACAAAGCCAAGGGTAAGGGTCATTCAGGGCGGCGTCGACATCATAGTGTGGACGACATAGATTGAACCTGCACTTACTTGATGTCCCGCTCGTTCTTGGTGCGGATCATGAACCGCACCTCCGACCTGACCACCGATATCTCCCGCATGATGCTCAGCTCCGTCTCCCGGTAGAGCGTCGCCTCCACTCTCGCCGCCATCTGGCATGCCTTTATGCGCCCGAGGAGCGTGTGCACCGTTGTGGAGTGCACAGGCTGGGCTCGCGCGGCGTTGTCCCCCTCCTCGGTGGACTCGGCATCGAGCTTACACTCACGCACCATGTACTTCACGTACGCGCGAAGCCGGGTGATGGTAACCCTTGGGCCGTGCAGCCACACGTACGCCCGGGGGACATCGGCCTCCTGGTCCCAATTCTTCTTCTTGTTGTCCCGGATGTAGTGGCCTATCTCGTCGACGTGCTTAAGCCTGTGCTCCTGGGGAAGTTTGCCGCCTATCTGCCTCAACATCTTCGCCGCCCACCTCTTGTAGTGGTATATCCAGGAGGTGTACTGCCTCAGCGTGCTGTTCTTCTCCAGGGTTTGCAGGTGGCGTAGTGCGTCCATGACGAGCACGTCGATGCACGCGTACACCATGTCTTCCTCGACGAAGTCTGCCGCCTTCCACTGTTCGCGCGGCACCGACATGTTCTCCTGGTCGGCGTCCTCGTCCTCTTCGAGCAGTTCATCTATGAATTCAAGCTCCCGCCTGAGTCGTTCGTCCAAGGTGCGCGGATTAGTGCTACGGGGTGGACGGTCGTCGTTTTCGTCATCGCTTTCCTCCTCCTCCTCCTCCTCCTCCTCATCCTCCTCCTCCTCGGCATCAACTTGGTTTCCAGAGCCGGCATGTGCCGACGACGTTCCTGGCTGTCCATTTCGTGCAGGCTGCTGTTTTTTTTTCTTGTTGAACTCCCCGATCGACGGTGGGGGAATGTCCTTGGTGAATTTCTCCTTCCGGAATCTGCGTCAGCTTGTCAAGATCGTAGAGTAACGGGAGCGTCTCTTCGTCGGTAGATGTAGGATTGTGGTCGGTGGGGGGACTAGCGACGGGCATGTCGACGTCGGCCATGTCTGCCATGATTGCGCTATCGTCGTCCGTGTGCGGTGCGGAGGTTGTTAAACCAGAGACGGAACTGTGTCACGGGAGCGAAATAACGGTCTTCTTCGAATTCTCGCTCAATCGCGTCTAACTCGGCTTCGACCTCAAGACGTTCCAGCTCCGCTTTGATGTCGTCGTCTACTGAGTCGGCGGGGGGTGGGATGGATTGGGGCTGTTGGGCTCTAGGGCGACCTCTGGCCATGCGTCGCCGACTTGCTAGGTCGGCCAAGATGTCGATGTCGACGATGTTGCCCTGGCACGTCCGATGTCGACGTCGACAAGTACTGACCTCTCGTTTTCCTAAACACCGACCTGATTGTTAGCGACCACGTAGAAGCAACCAGTGCCGACGGGATCGATTAGTCGGCAACCGACAAGCCAACAAACGCGAAGAAAGACAGGCAGCGGAGAGCAGGAAGGAAAGCAGGAACTGACAGGGAATGAGCACAATCGGAGGGCCACGAAGAGTACGGTCCCGAGCGTCTCCGAAGCGGCCGCGCTTCACGCAACCCCCCATGCTGCTGCCGCTATGCATGCGTTCTCCTGCGGCGGCGCAGTGTCCGACGTGTCACGTGCCAAGGATGGCTCCTGGGACGTCGCGCTGCACCCTTGGGGCGTAAGCCTGGGCCATTCTACGAGGGAATGGGCGTGTGTGACGTGGCGTGGGCCCGACATTGGCGCCTCAGAGCGGAAATAACGGCATGCCGACTTCCACCTCCCAGGGGCCCTAGATTACTGCGGGGCCGCGTGGCAACCCTACCGCGATCGCCTGGTGATCGGCGCCGACTACCCGTCGGCGCGCTTATTTGTTTGGTTATGTTCATTGAACGTGGACGCTATTGTGACTGTGCCGCGTGGCTCGGTTGTGGACCGTTGGATGACTTGGTCGACACCGACCAAGGTTGACGGTCCGATCTGCGCCGCGTGGATCGAGCACCGACAATTTTGGCGGGAGCGTCGACTTCCCGCGCGAAACACTCGCCGCCGGAGCGACGCGTGGCCACGACGTGAGCGTCGTGGCAGTCTTGTTATCGTGGGGGACCTCCTGGCTCGTCCCTATTGGGCCGCGTGGCAGCAGTCGCGGCTCGACGTGGCGAGCTTTCCTATTTTGTCCGCTGAGATTTACTTCTCAGGTATCTCCCAGCGGAAACGGAGGTCGTCGGATTGTCGACAATCCCCAGGGCTCCCGTGGCCCCTTGCCGCTCGGAGGTCGTCGGGAGGTCGTCAATCCCGAGGGGGCCCTTTGTCCTATCGAAACCGCGAATCTGGGCGGCATTTTTCGTCCGCTGAGGTATATTATGCCAACGCTGATGTGCGATGGTTCTATGCCCGCCACCAGGAATCGGTGGGGGCAGAAGGCACCCCATGCTCAAGGTGGAAATATTTTAGCTGGGAAATCTACGTACAGTTCACGCCATCCGAGGATCCGAAGCGGGGGCAGTTTGACGAGATCCAAATTATTCTAGGCGAGGAAAACCTGTGTAAATTGGATACAGTACAGTAACACGTTTCTGGGTGGGTCCACCACCCCTACAGGGAAACAGCTACATCTACCCTATTACACTAAAAAAAAAAGCCTCAGAAGTTTCCCGATCAAACTCCCTGCATCGAGCTCCCTTTTCTCCCTGCTCCTCCTATTCTCCCTCACCTGTCCACCCCATACGAATCAAACAACAGAAATTTGATGGTGCACCGAGAAAAAAACGCTGCGTAAAGTTTTTAACCGTACGTAAATCCAGACCACCCAATTACCTCTCCGCCCTTTGCCAACACCGTCAGATCTAATCAATTCAATACTCGTCCATTTCACAATCATTTGTCCCAGCGAGAGAGACAATTTGAGCATCCACCCTAGGCCAGGGGGCTGAAGCCCTGATCCGCGTCGCGTGGTCCTTAATCCCGTTGGATTATCTCAGCAATCTTTGCCTCGTTGCCCGTCCTTTTTTTGGAGTCGTTTGCACGGGGATGACTGTTGTGGGGAACGCACGGTTTTCGCGAGTCTACTGCTCAATAGGATCAGCGATTGAGGGAACAGATGGGATGGGTGGTCACGACTCACGGCGAGTTAGGAGGACGAGCAATCATAGAGAAATCCCACAAGAGGCCGAGGGTGGAACCAAGGCGGAGGTGGAGGCGGAGGGCATGTACGCAAAAAAGGACACATCACCGCAAGGCATGGTGGACTCGGGACTTTCCAGTCCTCCGCCAGCGTGTGAGGTATAATTGCTGGTCTTACCCGTCACTTCTTCGAAGTGAACGCTCAGAATGCTTCGATTCGAAAACTTGCTGCGGTAGAGTGACACTCTCGCCCCTGACGGATCAAACGCCTCGACAGACTCCTAATATTGTCGCTTCGATACTTGAAGTCAACACTCCCATTCGCGAATCTCGTGCGAAGCCGTCGCGATCATGTTTTCGCCGCTGGCCTGCTTCTCTCCGCACATCTTCGCAGCCGATTTCAGTGATTTCGGTGACGACGCGACTTTAGACGAAAGCTTTTCGCAAGCAACACCACCTATGCGGATCGTTCCAAAAATCCCCTCCCTTTCGTCCCTGCCGGTCTTCACGCGGCCGCTCACAAGCCCCGCAGCCGCGTGCGTCGCAGCCTTTCCCATCTGCTGCTCGCCCACCAGCGACGGGGGTTCCTGTAACGACTCCCTGCGACGTCACGCGCGACACATCGAGCGACGAGCCAAGGACGCCTCGTGTGACGATCGGCGTGACAGCGAGTCGCACGAATTGTCGTTCTGGGCGTCGGAGTGTGCTCAGGCGGGTTGGAACGACAAGCACTCGCATCACGGATGCGCCTCATTCTCCGTCTCTGTTCCCCCCGTTATAGTGCCGCCGCCTACTAGCAACGACGTCGCTCGGCGGTATTTTTCTAGCAGGACCGAGAGCCGCGCTGCTCACGCGGGAAGCACGAACCGCAACAAATCAAAGCGCAAGTCTAATGGCGCCGGGTGCGGGGACAGCGCGGACGAGAAACAAGACGCCGTCGCCGCGGAGTTGGCGCCAGCAGCGGTTGCGCGGGCTAACCCAAAGGCCGGTAAGACGACAGAAGTCGTCGCGACCGTCAGCTCCGCCAGTTTCGCAAAGAGTCGCACGTCCGTGCGCGCGCGACCGTCGCTGGTCATCCCAGACCCTGCTGGGGAGCCGTTGGATTGTAACGAGGGCTTTGTCTCAATTGACGTCGAGTTAACGAAATCCCAAAGGCCGTTACATGGCAGTAACCACATGCTGCCGCCCCACCGCGGCTGCGCAAGTAAGCCGCTGCCGTCGCGCAACCGTTCCAAATCGAGGCCGCGAACAGCGCCCATGGGAATTGCGCGCTGGTTTTGGGACGCCGCGGCGGGAGTAGCAGGATCGGCCGGAGCGGGAGAAGCGGGAGGGGCGGAAGGAGCGGCGGAAGGAGCGGCGGAAGGAGGGGGTGGCGGAACCCAGATCGGCAATTCGACTGAGGGAACAACGCCTGTGACAGCGATCGGACGCGCGGCGGCGGAGGCGGCGATTGACACGTGTAGCGGCGCCAGGAGCAGCATCATCGCGTTGGGCGACAACGCGGCGGCGCCGACACGGACGACGCTGTTCCGATCGGCGCGCAGCGAAGGCGGTGACGGCGAGCGGCGCGCTCGCGACGTGCTAATCGTGAAAGGGGGAAGGCCGCCAGCTGATGCGCGGGGTGGCGGAGGCGGCGTATTCCGCAAGAAGCAGCGACGGGGGAAGGGCAAGCGGAGCGTGTTCGTGTACGAGCTGGTGCGCGCGCCCGCGGGGGAAGGCGTGGATGTGCAAATGCGCGTTCCGCGCGCGAGGACTGCAGCGGCGGCGTTGAGCGGCAACGCGAAGGAATCGGAAGAACCACCGAGAACGGTGGCGCAGGGTTGGCAGCAGCGGTCACTGGATCGAAGCGACACGCAGAGCGACATTGCTGACGTGGACGAATGGCGGAGAGAGATGGAGAAATATCTGGCCGAGAAGGACCGACGCGCGAGCCTTGAGGCCTCTCAGAAGGAACGGACGATGATGATTCTGGAGGACGAGGGGGAGACGCGGAAGAAGCGTGGGGAGGGGAAGGATGAGCGCGCAAGTGCAGCACGGCAGTCGACACTCCCCACACGCGGAGGACGTGCGGGGAGAGCGGACGAGGAATTGGAGAGGGGAGGCAGCAGCGGCGAGGAGGAGCAACCCGATCGGGAGAATGGCAGCAGCGGCGACGATAGCTGGGGGTTGCGGGACGATGACGATGCCTTTTTTGGAGCAAGCGGCCGTCCTTGTAAAGAGTATGGCGGCTGCGACGAGGCGGTTCTCCGGCGAGGTGGAGCGGAGTTGGGTGGAAACAGCAGCTGGCGCGATGCATGCAGCGAGGGGGAGGCAGGGGGGATTGACCGGTGGGACCTGGACGCGGATATCGAGGAGCACCATAGCGAGGATGGAAGCAGCGCCGCGCTGTCCGCCCACACGAGCGGCGGCGGTGAAGACGCGTGGGGCGTTGGGGGCAGCAGCGGCAGCGAGGGGCGACGAGCGGGGCGGCAGTGGCGTGACGAAGAAGTAGTAACAGAGTTGGGAGTGGATCGGGAGGAATTGAGAGCGGTGAGGGGGGATGAGGATTGGTTTGAAGAGGGGGAGGAGGGCGTGTTGCTGGTGGACGAGGGGCGGGTCGTGCTCGCTGCTTCTGAGTCACACGGAGATTGTGGCCAGGAACGGGTCTGTGTAGGGACATCCACGCGCGCTGCTCCTTCCCCGGCTGCTGCTGCTACTACCGTGCCTGTTGCATCTCCCCCCACATGCGCAGCAGTCCCTTCCACTGCGCCGCCCCGTGCCGTCCGCCAAGCCAGCAGGGCCGCCGTTGCCCGTGCTGCAGCAGAGGCGTTCGGCGCGCAGGCAGGCAGGAGAGGCGACGGAAGGGATGGCGGCGACAGTGATGGCAGCACCGGCAGTGGCAGCGACAGCAGCAGCAGGGAGGGTGAGCGACCTGTGCTGCTGCGCTGCGAGGGCTTGCGGGGGAGCAACCGCGTGCGCGCGTTTGACCCCAGCGAGTACGAGACGGCAGCAACAGCCGTCGCCGCAGCAGCTGCAGCAGCAACAGACGCAGGCAAGGGTGTGTCTGAGAGCAAGTACGAGGCAGGCGGAGAGGCCGAGAGACTGGCGAAAGAAGGCTGCGGCGAGGCCCAGAGCGATGACGCTGTGCTGACGTCAGCAGCAGCGGGAAAGGGCCAGCAGGCGGCGGCGGCGGCGGCATGGTGGCAGTTCGGCAGGGCTGATAAGGCTGCCAGCAGTAGTGGGCAGGGCGGCAGGCAGAAGAGCAGCAGCAGCGCGGTCAGCAGGGGGCGTTCGCGACCAGTGGGGCCCCCACCCACCCCCCAGAGTCCTGAGGATGACGCACGCATACAAAGCCGCACGCTGTACTCGATGTCCCCGCCGGGGCTCCCCTCGCGCGCCGCAGCATCGCCATCATCCCGCCTCCCGCCCTCCTCGGGCCTGAGGAGGCAGCAGTCCGCCGCTGCCGCGCTGGCCTCTGCTGGTCCTCGTGCGCCCTGTGCTGACTCATCCCGTGCTTTAGCGATGGCTCATAGGCACACTAAGAGGCAGGTTGACTCGGCTGCAGGCAAGGAGAGCATTGGAGCAAAGGAGAGCATTGGAGCAAAGGAGAGCATTGGAGCAAAGGAGAGCATTGGAGCAAAGGAGAGCATTGGAGCAAAGGAGAGCATTGGAGCAAAGGAGAGCATTGGAGCAAAGGAGAGCAGGCGAATGGTGGTGGTTTACCACAAGAGCAGCAGCACTGGCAGCAGCGAGGAGGGAGGCACCAGTGGCAACGTGTCGGGCATTCAGAAAGGCAGTGCTGGTGGTCAGCCCAAGCGCATAGCCCATAGCGTGACCTACCACCCTGGAGGCAACGCACCGACAAGCCTAGTCACGGCTGGCTGCAGTAACAACAGCAACAACAGCACCCACTGCCGCACCTCACCCTCCTCCTCCACCACTCGCCCCTCTGCCCCGCTCCCTTTGTCACTTCCTCCCGCGTCCCTCGTCCCTCTCCCTTCGCCCCCGTCCCTCGTCCCTCGCCCCTTGCTCTCGCTCTCTTTCTCAGCTTCGGCTTCAGCCTCGGCCAAGCCTAGGCCTCTGAGTCGTGCCAACTCCGCTGCCCCTGCGCTCCTGCACCCACAGCCCATTTTCCTGGCCGGTGGGAAGCGATTCAGCACCCGCTGCTGCTGCCGCCGCTGCTGCCGCCGCCGCTGCGGTTGCTGCAAACGGCGGTGGTGCTAGTGCTGCTGCTGCTGCAGCGGCTGCTAATGGTGCTGGCGTTGTCGCTTCTGCCAATAATGGTGGTGGTGGTTCTGCTGCTGCTGCGACTGGGAAAGCAAGAGCGGGAAGAGCAGCAGAGGCTGCAGGGATAGCAGGAGGGCAGGCAGAAATGGGCCTCAAAGCGAGCGCAGTGGTATACCACCCGCCCTTCAGCAGCTACCGGCACCAGGCTGACGTGGCAGCCCAGGAGGAGGAGGCGAGCCTGAGGGAGCTGGAGCAGCAGCTGGAGAGGGAGAGGAGGAGGAGGGAGGAGGAAGAGGAGGAGATGTTGGCAGAGGCTGGTGAGAGGGGAGTGAGGGAGGTGCGAGTGAGGGAGGGCGAGTGGGAGGAGGGGGGTGCTTGGATGGTGAAAATGCCTGGAAGGGGGGAGTCGAGGAGACTGGAGGAGCTATGTGAGAAAGCGGTTGGGATGGGTGCTGGTGGGGTGGGGATGGGATTGGATGGGGTGGAGATGTGCTTGGAGTTGGAAAGAGGGGTGGTGAGCATTGGGCCTAGTGTGGGGGGTAGAGGAGGGATGGGAAGGAGCTTGAGCATGGGCATGGGGTTGAGTCCAGAAGCGATGTCAGATGCAAGAGGGAGAGAGCGGATGGGGGCGATGCTGGGAGGGAGAGAGCACAGAGTCACATCACCAGCACCTGTACCTCCTCCCATGCGACGGTCCCGCACAGACACAAGGCAGGAGAGGCGGGCGAGGGAGCAGCGGGAGCCTAGGGAGGAGAGGGAGGGGAGGGAACTGAGGAGTGCATGTGCGAAACATGATGCGGGATTGGTTTCCGTGCCACCTCCCATGCGACGCTCACGGACTGACACGAGGCAGGAGAGGGGGATGAGGGCACGGCAGCAGGCAGTGACGCCAGCAGTGAGTGGGGGCGGCAGAAGGAGCGAGGGGATCAGCGAAGGTGGAGCAGGAAGCGGGCGGGTGTTGCGGCGAGGCAAGACTCAGCCGAGCAGGCGCTTGGAACAACGGGAGGGGGTGGGCCGGCGGCGCAGAGAGGGAGACCTGCTCATCCGCACACACACGCTGTGAGTACTGTGGGTAAAGGGCAGAGGGCAGAGGGCAGAGGGCAGAGGGCAGGGGGCAGGGGGCAGTGGGCAGAGGGCAGAGGGCAGAGGGCAGAGGGCAGAGGGCAGAGGGCAGAGGGCAGAGGGCGGAGGGCGGAGGGCGGAGGGCGGAGGGCAGAGGGCAGAGGGCAGAGGGCAGAGGGCAGAGGGCAGGGGGCAGGGGGCAGTGGATAGTGGGCATGAGGCAGAGGGCTTTGGCAGTGAGAAGGGGGGGAGGGGGTGCCCCTGCTCATCCGCAGGCATGCTTTGTGAGTCTCATGGGTGGTGGGCAGGGGTGGTTGTGAACGTGTCTAGTGGCAAGCCACTCAAGCCTGTGTGGCAGCAGCTGTGTGCTCTGCTGCTGTGTGTTCTGCTGCTGTGGTCTCTGCTGCTGTGGTCTCATCCCTTCTTCGCTGCTCACTCTTTTGCCTGTCCCTTGCACTGCTGCTGCTGATGGTGCTGCTGCTGCTGCTGCCGCTGCTGCTGTGTGTGTGCAGAGGGCAAGACGCGGAGATTCTGGTGCTAGACAACTGACAGTGGCGGTGGGCACAACACAACGGCATAACATGTGACGGCAACTGATAAGGAAGACTGCAACCTGCAACGATGATCACAAACCGACAGGGATGGCACTGCCATCCTGGGTTGCGTATGGGGCAAACCTCTTGCCACACAGCTTGGCATCGTACAGTGGGTTGCTTGCAATGCAAGGAGTTGCTGGCAGGCACTCCTTTGCAGACTCGCGGCTCCCGCTCCTGTCACTCACCTGTCACTCAATCGACGCCGGAGTGTTTCTGTCCAATGACCACCCACCGCCATGGTCTGAAGGATATTGGCTCATATAGGTTACATGTGCAATTGAACGAGCGAGTGAAGGTTGCACTAAGGAAGCAAAACGAGTACAAAGGATGAGCGAAGTGTCAAAGTACTAATTAGTTAGGTACTTAGGTTTAGGAGGCTTAGGAAGGAGAATCATAGCGAGAGTAGCGAGAGGGAGGGAATTGGCCAAAAGAGGGCTTCAATAAAGGCATAGCATACAAGATATAGGAAATGGGAAGGCAAAAGGGTGCACCACCAGCAGTTGTTTCTAATAACTAACTAATACACTAGCAAGCTGTAGGCAGTTATACAGGAAATGCAAATATACAATTCAACACACCCCCGTAACTGCCTACGGCTATAGCTAGTGGTGTCTGGCACCAGGTCGCCTGGAGAGCGGTTGCTTGTAGCTGGGATATGCACAGAAACAGCGGTGGCTGACCGGCAGCACCTGTGAACGCCAGAACGGAGGGCGGAGGGCTAATTTGGAGGGCGTAGGCTGCCGGTGTTACACACCAACGGTTGGATAGGAGGAGGAAGCATGGCGGAGGGCTAATTTGGAGGGCGTAGGTGTCAGAATACTAGCGTGAGAATGGTGCATTGAAAGAAACAGTTGGGTACAAGTAGCTAACCCTACTGGGGTTGTACCCTATATTGGCTACCCCACTACAGCCTACCAACATATAACACATTACAACTTAACACACCCCCATAGGCAAAGTGGGGAGAACAAAGGGTCACAAGACCAGTCCAGCAAAGCAAAACAAGCCCAGGGTGGATCACAACGTCACCACACTCCGAGCACAAGCAAAGGCCACAAGGCCAGTTCACATGCAGTGCTAGATATAGAACAAGACAAGCAACAAGAAATATATAAAGTACAGTACAAAGAAAGTCAAGCAGTAAGCAAGTGAGGGAATGTGGACACAAGGCCTAAAGAAGTACAGTGCCGCTGATGATCACTAGGCCTTGGTGAAGATATCAGCAGTGTTGGCCTTCGAGTCCACGTACACAAGCCGAAGCTGACCGCGCTGCTGCAGCTCTCGAGCAAGAAAGTAGCGAAGAGCAATGTGCTTCGTCCTGTGCTCCAGTCTGTGCTCCTGACACAAGGCAAGGGCCGCCTTGTTGTCGCCGTACAGAACTGGAGGAGAACTAGGCCGCTCTCCCAAGTCAGTCAGCAGGTAGGTGAGCAAGCGTAACTCCTGTGCAGCCATGGCCGTGGCGTAGATCTCAGCCTCACAACTAGAGCTGAGAACAGAAGAAGAGCGGGTGGACCGCCACGAGACAGAACCAGAGCCAAGGCTGAAGGTGTAACCCTGCGACGACCGCTGCGTAGCCAGGTCGTCAACCCAAGAAGCGTCCGAGTGACCAGTGAGGACAACTCTGTCGCGTCCTCCAAGCACCAGCCCCATGCCTGATGTACTGCACAAGTAACGCAGCACCCTCTTAGCAGCCTCCTAGTGCTCTCGCCTGTGTCTCCCAGGCGCAACGTAACGAGCAAGGATGCTAAGAGGGTACGCGAGGTCAGGTCGCGTGCAAGTCATCAGGTACATGAGGCAGCCTACAAGCTCTGGGTACGGGCCACTCGGCTCTACGGACTCGTCCGAAGGTGGAGCTGAGAGCGAGTGGCTGGTAGCCAGAGGTGTGGCCTGTGGTGAGGAGAACTAGAAGCCGAAGCGCTGAAGGACCTGCTGCACCATGTGTGACTGAGTCAGGGTAATGGTGCGGCGTGCTCTGTCCCGGGTGATCTGCAAGCCAAGGTAGCTACGCAGCTCTCCCAGGTCAGTGCAGGTGTGTCTCTTCTGCAGCTCCGACTTCACACGAGCGAGTGCCTCAGTGTCAGCAGTAGCAAAGACCAAGTCGTCGACGTACACGAGGATGTAGAACGGCGGCAGCGACGTGTCTGTGCGCAGGAACAGTGACGGGTCAGCAGTGGAAGGAGCAAACCCAAGGGCCGCAAGTGTAGTCCTCAGTGTGTCGTGCCACTCGCGCGGCGCCTGGCGGAGACCGTAGACTGGCCGCCGGAGGCTCCACTGGGTACCAGGAGGGAACGACCCAGTGAAGCCAGGAGGGCGGCGCAGCCAGATCTCCTCGTGGAGGCTGCCCTGCAAGAAAGCTGTGCTGAAGTCAAGAGAGTGAAGCTCATAGTCACGCTGAGCAGCAACGTGCAGCAACACCCGAAGAGTGGTCATCTTCGGGGTGGGGGAGAAGGTCTGAAAGAAGTCAACCCCCTGACGCTGACTGAAGCCTCTAGCAACGTAACGAGCCTTGAAGACAGGTGGAGAACCTGGCGGCCGCTTCACCCTGAAAATCCACATGCCATCGACGATGTTCGCCCCAGGAGGGGGAACCTTGTCGACGTAGGTGCCTGTGGATTTCCAGGATGCCATCTCTGCGTCCATGGCTGTCTGCCACTGAGAGGAGTAGGGACCCGAGATCGCCTCTGCGTAAGAGCGCGGAGTGGGGATGTCTAGTGCATCCGGGTCTCCCTCAGGGGCAAGCAACCAGGCCACGAGATGAGGTACAGCAGCCGCAAGAGAGTCAAAGTCCTCCTGCCTGTCCTCAAGGACGTCCGTGCCAAGAGCACACTCACCCCCGACGGACGGAGGACAGACAGACTCAGACTCAGCAACAAGACTGGCGGCGTAGTCTAGACGACAGGCAGCAGCAAAGTCGACAAGCTCAGCGACCAGGGCAGACGCAGCAGCAGACTCAAACGACGGGTCAGTGACAACAGTGGCGAGAAGACGCGTAACAGTAGGGTGGGCAGCACGAACACTGTCAGACTCAGGGTCGGGAACGTCAGGAAGAGAAGACGCAGGAGGAGACGGTAGGGGGACACGCTGTGGACCAGTGGAAGGACGAAGGGCCATAATGTGCGTGCCAGGAACAGGAGGAGGACGCGGACGCGCGACACGACGACCAGTGGGACCAGTGCGCGCAGTGCGAGCAGTGCGAGCAGCGCGAACAGGCGAGGCAGGACGAGACGCAGGCTCGCGACGCTCCGTAAGCGAGTCCGGCTGCGCAGTGTAAGGCACAGGAGCAGGGAGGGGGGAGCCAGGCTGGAGGGGAAGGCCAGTGGAAGACGGGAGGGAAAGAACCTGGCGAAGTACCGTGTCAGGCGGTGGCAAAGCCGACGGCGACGGCGGAGCGAAGAACAGTCGCGACGGCGGAGCTCCGCCAGTACCTCCAGCACCCGCAGCACCAGAAGCACCAGCACCAGTGCCCCCCGCCGCAGCACCCCCAGAGCCGGCGACGTCAGCACCAGAGGCCCCAGCAGCGGCAGACCTCCCCTCGCCAGCACCTCCAGAACCAGCAGGACCAACACCTCCAGGACCGTCAGCTCCAGTGTCGTCAGCTCCAGCAGCTCCAGCACCTCCAGGAAGAGCACCCCCAGGGCCGGCAGCTCCAACTCCGCTCGTACCACCAGCTTTAGAGTCCCCAGCTCCAGCAGCTCCAGCCTCAGTGCTCCCAGAACAACCAGCCCCAGCAGCTCTAGTACCTCCAGTACGAGCACCTCCAGGACGAGCAGCTCCAGAACCTCCAACTCCAGCAGGGCCACGAGGACGGCAAAAGCGCCGGACGTACCAGTCACGAAGCTGCTGCTGAGTGAGAGGCGGATCAGCACCCCGAACCGGAGCACCCCCAGACGCAGCAACCCCAGGCTCCGTAGGCTCAGTCGCAGCACCCCCAGGCTCAGTACCCTCAGGCGCAGCACCCCCAGGCTCAGCACCCCCAGACTCGGCACCCCCAGGCTCAGTACACCCAGGCCCAGCACTCCCAGTCTCAGCACCCGCAGGCTCAGCACCCCCAGGCTCCGTACCCCCAGGCTCAGCACCCCCAGACGCAGTACCCCCAGGCTCAGCACCCCCAGGCTCCGTACGCTCAGGCACCGTACCCTCAGCTCCAGCACCCTCAGTCCCAGCACCCCCAGGCCCAGCACCCCCAGGCTCAGCACCCCCAGCAGCACCACCCGCAGCAGCACCTGAGTCACCTGTGACCTCGACAGGCTCAGCAACGGGAGGAGGGTCTACCTGAGAGACACCTGAAGGAGCAGGACCCTGAGGGGGAAGGGGGTCTACCGGAGGGGGACCAGGAGCGAGGAAAAGCGGCGGGGGAGGGAGGGGGGCAGTGCGGTAGGGGAAGAGACGGTAAAAAGGGACCGACTCGTCAAAGGTGACGTCCTGAGAGGCGAAGACCCGGCGCGAGGTGGGGTGGTAAAACTGCCAGCCAGGCGCGTCAGGGACAAAGCCAAGGAAGACACAGGGAAGCGTGCGGGAGGAGAGCTTGTCCGCGGACGTATCGCGGACAAGGGCACGAGCACCCCACACCCGGAAGCGCGACGCATCGCCAACCTCCCCCGTCCAACGCAGTGTGGGCGAGGTCTCCGGCAAGGAGACACGGGGCCAGAGGTTGAGCTGATGCACGGCGTACCGGACAGCAAACGGCCACAGAAAATGGGGAGCCGCCGCATGGACCAAGGAGGTACGAGCGACCTCCATGACCAGGCCAATGCGGCGCTCAGCAACCCCATTCTGCTGTGGGGAGTCCGGAAGCGTGAAGGTCTGCTCGATGCCCTCCGCCTGACAGAAGGTCCTCAAGAGGTCGGAGGAGAACTCACCACCTCGGTCAGAGTGCAGACGCAGGACAGGAAGATCCGTCCGGAAACGGCGGCGGAGCTGGAGACGAACTGTGCGGATCCAAGGGATCAGAACAGCAGGGACCTCACCCTTGGTGCGCAAGGGGAAGACCGTGGTGTAGCGCGAGTAGTCGTCGACAACCAGCAAAAAGTACCGCTCACCGCCCTGGCCACGAACGCGGGCTGGGCCCCACACGTCCAGGTGGAGGGTCTGCAGAGGAGCCTCTGTCGGGGGGAACGAGGAGGAGTGAGGAGCGGCGCGCTGCCGCCCCTCGACGCAAGGAAGGCAAGGCGGCGCAGGCGAGGCAGGGAGGGGAGGGAGGGACCGGGGAAGACCGGACACAAGGTGGCGACGGTGCATGCCACGGAGGCGTGGCAAGGAGGGGTGACCCAGGCGGTGGTGCCAGAGAAGAGTCTGGTGCGACAGGGAACGACACTCACAGGCGTGGGCTACCAGACCTGACGCAGACACCTGACCGACAGCAGCGACCTGAGGAGACGCAGTGGTCAGTGTGTAGAGACTCGACCCCGGCTGACGGGTAAACGTAGCCAGGTGACGGCCGGTCCTGGAGCACGTGAGGATCGCCACACGCTGTCCTCCAGGGGTAAAGGTGTCAACCCACTGATCCTGGATGACAGCGTTGCTCACCAGGTTCGTCGAGAACGAGGGGAGGTGGAAACCCGACAACGAGCCAGACGGAACCGCCGGACACGGGAGCACAGTGGTGGACCGTGCCAGGACTGGGCCCCCCGAGGGGTCAGCCAAGGAGACTGGGACCGGTGCAGGAAGCGGTGTGAGCTCAGTACTGTCACGAAAGAAACAGCGGGAAGCACCTGAGTCAAGGGTGAAGGTGTGACAGGCCTCAGCCGGTGCAGTACCTGAGAGAGCAGTCTCTGTGGGTGCTGTACCTGAGAGAGCAGACTCACAAGCAGCAGGGACAGTACTGGAGGGAGCAGCCACAGAGGGGACCGTACCAGAGAGAGCAGACTCACTAGTACCTAGGGCAGCGGGCTCTATACCTGGGTCAGGCGGCACACACAAGTAACAGTCTCCCTCGGCACTAACAGTCAATGCATACATGGCAGCAATAATAGCATCATAGTCAAGAGCAAAGATATCAACACCAGCCCTCATCAGCTCCGCCCAGCGGGGGCGCTCAACATCCTCGCCGATCTCCTCACGCCAAGCGTCGTCAAGGCGGGAGAAGCAGCGGTACGGGGTGTGGAACCTCCCACACGTCTGTCCCTTGCGGTCACCTGTGCGAATGACATAGGAACAGCGGCCACTGCCCCCCGACGTCCCACGCTGAGCAAGCCACTCACGAAGCTGCTGGGTCGACTGGGGACGCTGCTGCTGCTGGGAGCTCTGGCCCGAGCCAGTGCCTCCACTCCGACCTCCGCCGCCACCACTACCTCCGCTCCGACCGCCACCGCCGCCACCGCCACCGCCGCCACCGCCACCGCCGCCGCCGCCACCACCGCCACCGCTCCCTCCGCCGCCCCCGCCTCCGCTGCCGACCCCACTCCCACCAGCACTCCCGCCACCGCTCCCTCCAGCACCGCCTCCCCCCCCACCTCCCCCACCTCCTCCCCCCCCAGCGCCACCCCCGCCACCCTTGCCCCCCTTGCCCTTGCCGGTGCGGCGCCTCCCACCAGGAGCAGAAGCAGCGCCAGCAGACTCAGCACCAAGGAAGTCAACAGCAGCAGCAGTAGCGTAGGAGGGAGCGAGGGGAGAGGGAGAACACCCCTCAAAGATGGGGGTGCGAGGAGCGCCACGAGCAGCACCTACAGCTACAATGCTCTTCTCGGCTGCTAGCAGCTTCTCCTCTAGGAGGGCGACTGTGAGCTCAGTGGGACAGCGAGCAAGGAAGTAGTCTCGAACTGAGCTGAGGGTGTCAGGGAGACGGGTGACTATGAAATGGAGCGTCCAGTATGTTAAACTGTATTATGCTTGTAGGCTGTAGTGGGGTAGCCAATATGGGGTACAACCCCAACTAGGGTTTCATATTTGTACCCAAACTTCTGCTAGTTCAATCATTCTTGCCTAGTGATTCTGACATGGTATCAGAGCAGGAGGTCCCTAGGACCTACCGACCGTTTTTTTTTTAGGGCCCACCACCGCTCGCATGCGGTTACCACGCTACCCCGTGCCCTAGCCTCGTAGCGCCCTCGTGCGCCCACGTTAGCGCCCTCGCGCGCCCCTCGTTAGCGCCCTCGCGCGCACCCTCGTTAGCGCCCTCGCGCGCCCCTTCGTTAGCGCCCTCGCGCGCCCCTTCGTTAGCGCCCTCGCGCGCCCCTTGCTAGCGCCCTCGCGCGCCCCTCACTAGCGCCCTCGCGCGCCCCTCGCCGAGCCGCCCGCTCGCAGCCCGCCCGCCCGCTCGCTGCCCGCTTCGCGGCCCGCTCACTACGCAGCCCGCCCGCCCGCTCGCTGCCCGCTTCGCGGCCCGCTCGCTCGCTGCCCGCTTCGCGGCCCGCCCGCTTCGCAGCCCGCTCGCTCGCTGCCCGCTTCGCGGCCCGCTCACTACGCAGCCCGCCCGCCCGCTCGCTGCCCGCTTCGCGGCCCGCCCGCTTCGCAGCCCGCTCGCTCGCTGCCCGCTTCGCGGCCCGCCCGCTTCGCAGCCCGCTCGCTCGCTGCCCGCTTCGCGGCCCGCCACTTCGCAGCCCGCCCGCCCGCTCGCTGCCCACTTCGCGGCCCGCCCGCATCGCAGCCCGCTCGCCCCGCTGCCCGCTTCGCAGCCCGCCCGCCCGCCCGCTGCCCGCTTTGCGGCCCGCCCGCCGCGCAACGTCGCCCGCCCGCCGTGCTGCCCGCTTGCAGCGCCGCCTGCCCGCCGCGCTGCCCGCTTCCCGGCCCGTCCGCCGCGCTGCCCGCTCGCAGCGTCGCCCTCCCGTCGCACTGACCGCTTGCAGCGCCGCCTGCCCGTAGCGCCAGCCTCGCCCGCTGCTCTCTATCCGTGCACAGTCGCCTTCCCCTGCTGCGGCAGCTTGCGTTACTCTGTCACACTGTCGCTATGGCTTCCATTCGCGTGCTGTCGTTCGATGCTGAGGGCCGCCCTGTGCGTTTCACCGCTTGGCTAGATGACCTGCAGCTGTTCCTCCTGAGCGATAGCAAGGAGCATGTGTCGCTCTATGACTACGCGTCTGGTGCTGCGCCTGCCCCTCCTGCCACAGCTGAGCTTAGTGTTCGTTCCCACTGGCAGACTCGTGACGCAGCTGCTCGCCTAGCCATTCGCAGTCACCTGCCGTTAGCTGAGCTAGAGCATTTTGGCGACTGCAAATCCGCTAAGGCCCTGTACGACGCTGTCGTCGCTCGCTACTCCTCGCCTGCCACAGCCGAGCTTAGCCGCCTCATGCTGCCGTACCTGTTCCCCGATCTGTCCACCTTTACTACAGTCGCCGATCTTATCACCCACCTTCGCACTAGTGATGCTCGCCTGCGTGCCGCCCTTCCCACCGAGTTCTGCGCTAAGAACCCCCCTCCACTGTACTGGACACTCCACTTTATAGTCACTCGTCTCCCTGACACCCTCCGCTCAGTTCGAGACCACTTCCTTGCTCGCTGTCCCACTGAGCTCACAGTCGCCCTCCTAGAGGAGCACCTGCTCGCGGCCGAAAAGAGCATTGTAGCTGTCGGTGCTGCTCGTGGCGCTCCTCGCACCCCCATCTTTGAGGGGTGTTCTCCCTCTCCCCTCGCTCCCTCCTACGCTGCTGCTGCTGCTGTTGACTTCCTTGGTGCTGAGTCTGTTGGCGCTGCTTCTGCTCCTGGTGGGAGGCGCCGCACCGGCAAGGGCAAGGGGGGCAAGGGTGGTGGTGGTGGCGCTGGGGGAGGAGGTGGGGGAGGTGGGGGGGGAGGCGGTGCTGGAGGGAGCGGTGGCGGGAGCGCTGGTGGGAGTGGGGTCGGGGGTGGAGACGGGGGCGGCGGAGGAAGCAGTGGCAGTAGTGGCGGCGGCGGCAGTGGCGGCGGTGGCGGTGGTGGCGGTGGTGGCGGTACCGGTCGGAGCGGTGGTAGTGGTGGCGGCGGAGGTCGGAGTGGAGGCACTGGCTCGGGCCAGAGCTCCCAGCAGCAGCAGCAGCGTCCCCAGACGACCCAGCAGCTTCGTGAGTGGCTTGCTCAGCGTGGGACGTCGGGGGCCAGTGCCCGCTGTTCTTATGTCATTCGCACAGGTGACCGCAAGGGACAGACGTGTGGGAGGTTCCACACCCCGTACCGCTGCTTCTCCCGCCTTGACGACGCTTGGCGTGAGGAGATGGGTGCGGATGTTGAGCGCCCCCGCTGGGCTGAGCTCATGAGGGCTGGTGTTGATGTCTTTGCTCTTGACTATGATGCTATTATTGCTGCCATGTATGCATTGACTGTTAGTGCCGAGGGAGACTGTTACTTGTGTGTGCCGCCTGACCCAGGTATAGAGCCCGCTGCCCTGGGTACTAGTGAGTCTGCTCTCTCTGGTATGGTGCCCCCTGTACTTGCTCCCTCTAGTGCTGTCCCGGCTGGTTTCGAGTCTGCTCTCTCAGGTACAGCACCCACACAGACTGCTCCCTCAGGTACCGCACCGGCTGAGGCCTGTCACACCTTCACCCTTGACTCAGGTGCTTCCCGTTGCTTCTTTCGTGACAGTACTGAGCTCACACCGCTTCCTGCACCGGTCCCAGTCTCCTTGGCTGACCCCTCTGGGGGCCCAGTCCTTGCCCAGTCCACTACTGTCCTCCCTTGTCCGGCGGTTCCGTCTGGCTCGTTGTCGGGTTTCCACCTCCCCTCGTTCTCGACGAACCTGGTGAGCAACGCTGTCCTCCAGGATCAGTGGGTTGACACCTTTACCCCTGGCGGACAGCGTGTGGCGATCTGCACGTGCTCCAGGACTGGCCGTCACCTGGCTACGTTCACCCGTCGGCCGGGGTCGAGTCTCTACACACTGACCACTGCGTCTCCCCAGGTAGCTGCTGTCGGTCAGGTGTCTGCGTCAGGTCTGGTGGCCCACGCCTGTGAGTGTCGTTCCCTGTCGCACCAGACTCTTCTCTGGCACCACCGCCTGGGTCACCCCTCCTTGCCACGCCTTCGTGGCATGCACCGTCGCCTCCTTGTGTCTGGTCTTCCCAGGTCCCTCCCTCCCCTCCCTGCCTCGCCTGCGCCGCCTTGCCTTCCTTGCGTCGAGGGGCGGCAGCGCGCCGCTCCTCACTCCTCCTCGTTCCCCCCGACAGAGGCTCCTCTGGAGACCCTCCACCTGGACGTGTGGGGCCCAGCCCGCGTTCGTGGTCAGGGCGGTGAGCGGTACTTTCTGCTGGTTGTCGACGACTACTCGCGTTACACCACGGTCTTCCCCTTGCGCACCAAGGGTGAGGTCCCTGCTGTTCTGATCCCTTGGATCCGCACGGTTCGTCTCCAGCTCCGCCGCCGTTTCCGGACGGATCTTCCTGTCCTGCGTCTGCACTCTGACAGAGGTGGTGAGTTTTCCTCCGATCTCCTGAGGACCTTCTGTCAGGCAGAGGGCATCGAGCAGACCTTCACGCTTCCGGACTCCCCACAGCAGAATGGGGTTGCTGAGCGCCGCATTGGCCTGGTCATGGAGATCGCTCGTACCTCCTTGGTCCACGCGGCGGCTCCCCATTTTCTGTGGCCGTTTGCTGTCCGGTACGCCGCGCATCAGCTCAACCTCTGGCCCCGTGTCTCCTTGCCGGAGACCTCGCCCACACTGCGTTGGACGGGGGAGGTTGGCGATGCGTCGCGCTTCCGGGTGTGGGGTGCTCGTGCCCTTGTCCGCGATACGTCCGCGGACAAGCTCTCCTCCCGCACGCTTCCCTGTGTCTTCCTTGGCTTTGTCCCTGACGCGCCTGGCTGGCAGTTTTACCACCCCACCTCGCGCCGGGTCTTCGCCTCTCAGGATGTCACCTTTGACGAGTCGGTCCCTTTTTACCGTCTCTTCCCCTACCGCACTGCCCCCCTCCCTCCCCCGCCGCTTTTCCTTGCTCCTGGTCCCCCTCCGGTAGACCCCCTTCCCCCTCAGGGTCCTGCTCCTTCAGGTGTCTCTCAGGTAGACCCTCCTCCCGTCGCTGAGCCTGTCGAGGTCACAGGTGACTCAGGTGCTGCTGCGGGTGGTGCTGCTGGGAGTACTGAGCCTGGGGGTGCTGGGCCTGGGGGTGCTGGGGCTGCAGGTGCTGGGACTGAGGGTGCTGGAGCTGAGGGTACGGTGCCTGAGAGTACGGAGCCTGGGGGTGCTGCGCCTGGGGGTGCTGAGCCTGCGGGTGCGGGGCCTGGGAGTGCTGGGACTACGGGTGCTGGAGCTGAGGGTACTGTGCCTGAGAGTTTGCCGCCTGGGGGTGCTGAGCCTGGGGGTGCTGCGACTGGGGGTGCTGAGCCTGCGGGTACTGAGCCTGCGGGTACTGAGCCTGGGGGTGCTGCTACTGAGCCTACGGAGCCTCGGGTTACTGCGTCTGGGGGTGCTCCGGTTCGGGGTGCTGAGCAGTCTCTCACACCGCAGCAGCTTCGCGACTGGTACGTCCGACGCTTTCGCCGTCCTAGTGGCTCGACTGGAGTTTGGGGTGCTGGAGCTGCTCGTCCTGGGGGTGCTCGTACTGGGGGTACTGGAGCTGCTGGAGCTGGGGACTCTGGCGCTGGCGGTGCTAGCGGAGTTGGAGCTGCCGACTCTGGGGGTGGCGCGGCTGCTGGTGCTGCGGACCCACCTGGTGGAGCTGCTGCTGGTGCTGAGGAGTCGGACGGTGGAGCTGCTGCTGGAGCTGGGGACCCGGCCGGTGGAGCTGCTGCTGGTGCTGTGGACCCGGCCGCTGGAGTCCCTTCTGCTTCTGGAGACGCTGCGCGGCCGCGACCGTACTTCGTACCGCTCCTTCAGCAGGTTCTTGGGCAGGCTCCTCCTCCGTGTCCTCCTCCCTCCGTAGAGTGTCCTCCGCCTGTCCAGCCGCAGTCACAGTTACCGCCTGCCTCGCCTCTCCCTGCTCCCTCTCCTTATACTGGTCCCACAGGAGGTCTTACAGAGCGTCGTGAGCCTGAGTCTCGTCCTGCGTCGCCTGTTCGTCCTGCTCGCACTGGTAGTCGTGTCCGTCGTGAGCGTCCTCCTCCTGTCCCAGGCACTCACTACATGACTCTGCGTCCCTCTACTGCTCCTCGGCGTGTCCCTCTACCGTCTCCTCCTGCGTCCTCTTTGCCTGCCGTTCCGGACCCTGAGTCTGACCGGTATCGCGCTGAGCACCCTACAGTCACGCGTCTCCTTGCTACTGTTGTCACTGACCCCACCTTTGAGTCCTCGGCTGCGTCTGCTCTGGTCGCTGAGTTGGTTGACTTTGCTGCTGCCTGTCGTCTAGACTACGCTGCTAGCCTTGTCGCTGAGTCAGAGTCTGCGTCTGTCTGTCCTCCGTCCGTCGGGGGTGAGTGTGCTCTTGGCACGGACGTCCTTGAGGACAGGCAGGAGGACTTTGACTCTCTTGCGGCTGCTGTACCTCATCTCGTGGCCTGGTTGCTTGCCCCTGAGGGAGACCCGGATGCACTAGACATCCCCACTCCGCGCACTTACGCAGAGGCGATCTCGGGTCCCTACTCCTCTCAGTGGCAGACAGCCATGGACGCAGAGATGGCATCCTGGAAGTCCACAGGCACCTACGTCGACGAGGTTCCCCCTCCTGGGGCGAACATCGTCGATGGCATGTGGATTTTCAGGGTGAAGCGGCCGCCGGGTTCTCCGCCTGTCTTCAAGGCGCGTTACGTGGCTCGAGGCTTCAGTCAGCGTCAGGGGGTCGACTTCTTCCAGACCTTCTCCCCCACCCCGAAGATGACCACTCTTCGGGTTTTGCTGCACGTTGCTGCTCAGCGTGACTACGAGCTTCACTCTCTTGACTTCAGCACAGCGTTCCTGCAGGGCAGCCTGCACGAGGAGATCTGGCTGCGCCGCCCACCTGGCTTTACTGGGTCGTTTCCCCCTGGTACCCAGTGGAGTCTCCGCCGGCCAGTCTACGGTCTCCGCCAGGCGCCACGTGAGTGGCACGACACACTGAGGACTACTCTTGCGGCTCTTGGGTTCGCGCCGTCTACTGCTGACCCGTCGCTGTTTCTGCGCACTGACACGTCGCTGCCGCCGTTCTACATCCTCGTGTACGTCGACGACTTGGTCTTTGC